GACGGATTCTTACACTTCTAGGTACTGACCGCCGATTCTTCACCTCCAGGTACAGACCGATTCTTCACCTCCAGGTACAAGGAAGTGTCGGTACAGCGGATGTGCAGCGGTGAAGGTTGAGTAGAAGATGCCTTGGACTGTGTACGACTAACCGAAATGAAGAAATTTATGGTCTATAATGTCACCAAACTCGTTATCCATCAGTTCCTCTTCTTGGCGAACTTTCGGACGCTTGGTGGTAGTCGTAAGGGTAGCCAGGTAGGCGGCTTCTGCGGCCTTGTTTGCTTCTACGGTCTTTCTTGCATCCGAACTCAGGTTTAAACATACGTGGTTGCACAGCGAGACGTCGTACGTGTCAACCGGATAATCGCCTAACGAAGCGGCTAGCCTGGCGATGGGTGCTTCCATGTCGGTGAGCACGACTTTGTGAATTTCCCGTTCGTCTCTGGGCAGCCACCTGCTGTCTTTCGGCTTAACAGTCACATCACACTCGACGAGCGCGAGGTCGCATACGCAGTCGAGCTCGGATGCGTCTCGCGACGCTTCATTCGCACCTTGGCATGCGTCGGTACTTAATGCATTCAAGATTTGTGTGACTTGCTCCTCGCGCGACATGGTTGTGTTGAAACGGGTTTGCATAGGGAAGCGTGTGAGGAGTCGTGTGTCGAAAGCGATTTTTGATTCGTCAAACGTGTTGCAGTGGACTTCGCACTTCCCAAGCGCGTAGGGGGACGCGTGGGCGATTTCCCAGGCTAGCGGGAAGGTGATGGGCCAAGGTTTGCCGAAGGCGATCGGCCAGGGGCGGTCTCCACTGCAACCCGCGTCGCAACGCAGGATGCCGCTGCCGCAGGGCGCCACGGGGACGCCCGGCTCATCAGGCCCATCCGGCCAGTCGTCCTTGTTGCCGGTCAACTGCGCGTAGGTCCCTTGCACCGCTTCTCCCTGCGCCGACACTGAGGATCGCCACAGGACACTCCCCAGGAACAAGACAGCGGCGCCTACTCCCAGGACGCACCCGGTCTTGTACAGTCGTTGCTTGGTTTTGCGTCTGGCCCTCGCTTGTGGGGTCTCCAGGTCCCCGCCATCGCCCCAACCCGCAGTGTTCCAATCTGCAGTCTTCCACTCCACCGACCTTTGAAGCACCGGCATCCAGTCCTTGGGCACCCGCGCCAAGAGCTCCGCCAACTCCGACGGGTCTATCGGCCGCGCCACAGCCACGGCGACGTCGTCCACTTCGTCCAGAGGCGTCAAATCGCCAATCCCATTGAGGATCTCGCGCAGGTCGCGCAGGTGTTCACCAAAGATTTCGCGACATAACGCGTCAACCGCCACAGGCTTGTTCCGAGGTCCCCTGCGCTCCAGCTGGCGCCGCAGCGCGTCCAGCAGCCTCGCCTCCGCGTGAGCGTCGCTCGGAGGCCCCTCCTTCGGACGCCACACCATCATCCGGTCCCACTGCTCGAACCAGTCGTAGTTCCCTACCGTCGTCTCCATCGTGGACGGCACTCGCACGGCCGTCTCTACCTCAAAGGCCGTCTTGGGCGCCAATACCAAAGCCGTCGCCTCCCCGCCGCCGCCGCCACCACCCGCGCGTATCGTAACCACCTGTGCCACACAATCGTCCAACTTCGTCTGGCTACCGTCCGGACGGATCAAGACAGACAACAACTCGCTTCCCGACATGCCACTCGCCTCACTCTTGAACGTTCGCATCTCCCAATCCAAAAAAGGAATTTCGTTTTTTTGGTTCTCCCAGATTGATTATCTCTGTGGCGGGCTGGGAGTGTTCGTGCTACTGGTCTGTGCTGGGTCTGTCCTGCCCCGCACGACGACCCGCTGGAGGTTGTTCCACCAAAAAAGCTCCACCGACACGGTCATTTGTGGCTCCACCGCCAGGTGTCCGCCGCCACCATCCTGCCCACTGCGGTGATCACTGCGGCGAAAGGCGCCTTCCGTTCCGTTACCTGTCGATTTTAGGTAGCGATCGTCAGAGCCCGCTGACGACCACCTCATGGAACGTCCACTTGAAGTCAACGCCCTGTCCGCCTGACGGGCGATCGAAGTCACACATGGGCCTCACTGTAATTCGCGTGGTTGTCAAACGCTTCAAACCTCATAGGGTCCTCCAGCCCCGCTGGTCCCACTGCTCCTAATGCGAGGCGGCGTCAGCAGCCGTGGTTCGGTCCATAGGTGGTTCGGTCCATAGGTGGTTCGGTTTGGGTCCAGACGCACGCATGGTTCACCGAAGGACGGGATGACTCCAACTCTACCCGCTTCTTCAGCCCGGCCCTCAGCACACCCGCCCGGACCTGACCCCCGCCCTAACTGTGGCAGGCCACGACCTCGCTAGATGGGAGGACTCGCCCTTGCGACGCCTGGGTGGGAGGGCTTTCCGTACGCGCCCTGGCGGTACGTAAATGCACCGCCGTCGCAGCGTGAGCTCCTTCTCCGTGGTGCCCAAGTCCGCAGTTGGGGCGAGGCCGCTTTTGCGTGTCGAGAGTACGCCATCGATGTCGTCTTCTGGCTGCTTTTGGGCCCTCTCTCTCGTTGCGGCCAACACCGGCAGGCGTCCCTTGTTATCTTCTGCAGGACGTCAAAGAGGCTCACTCCAGTGCCCCCCGCCCACAATTGCGGAGACGTCCAAGAATTGGTCTCCGTGGCAGGCGAGCCACACTTAGTTGAGGAGTTCCCTAAGTGCTAACTATGGCGACTCGCACCAACTACAACTACCTTCGGAACTACTCACGGGTAAACTCAACCCAGCACACCGACTTAGCCGTCGCACCGGCCGCAACTATCGAGAGCGCAGTAAGACTCCGTCCATTCGGTACCGCGACATCACGCATGAGCTACGAACACAACATCCACAACTACCACCGACCGAGGGAACATAGTGGTGAGCACCCCCCACGTAGTAGTGGTCGCCATGTAACTTTCTCCCCAACGAAGCGCCACAGTTTTTAACCCTCTAGCCCAGTCCTGCCTGACCCCTATCGAACGCCCCGTTAAACCAGGCCACTTTTTTCGCCATTCCTAAAACCGAAATCGCGCGTCTGACCTGCAGCTCGTTTGCTCGCACAATCTTTTCGGCGTCTGGGCTTATTAAGGAGCACTCGTGGCTACAGCAGCCGACCTTGTAGCCTTGTTCCACATAGGGGGCGAAGGAGGCGGACAAGTCGGGGAGGTATGTTGACACGCCAAAGGCTGTAGTCCAGGCGTCATTTGGCACGCCACACTTTTCGACCTTCTGGTCTTCTTCCTTTTCTTTCGGGAGGTAAAAGTAGTAAGTCAGGTATTCTGTAGTCCTTGTGGTTTCTGTGGTCGCAGTGGTCAAGCTTTCGCTGTACACGTCGCAGGTGATGTTCGCATGGTCGCAGAAGCAACGTCCGAGCTTGTCGAGTTCTCGCCATGGCGAGACCGAGCCTGAGCAGTCCGGGTCGCGAATGAATGCAGCGAAGATTGGCTGGATTTGCTCCTCACCCAACAAGGTCGGGACGTCCCCCCGGTCGGCCCGTGGTAGGTTCGGGATCGACGTATTGAGGCCTTGAAGGGGGAAGCGTTCGAGGAGCCGGGTGGCGATGGCGCTCCTTGTTTCTTGGGGGGTATGGCAGACGACGCCGCATTCTTCGAACCCGAGTCTTTGGGAAATGTTCCAAGCCTGCGAAAAGAGTTCAGACCAGGGGCGCCCGAAGTTCCGGCAGAAGTCGATCATAGACGCGTTTTGCTTGTTGCCGCAGAAGAGAGTGCCGCTGTCGCAGGGTGCCACTGGCATCGGGGCGGTCCCTGAGCGGTTCGTTGAAATAACAGTTGTTCGGAGGTCCCCGAATCTGAATTGCGGACATCCCGGCTCACTGGACTGCTGATTCGCCCCCTGATTATTCAAGAAGCAATACCCGGTCAAGAGCCCGGTGAGGCCAAGGGCGAGAGCGCCTCCGATCCAATATTCTGCGCGACACTTCCGGGGCCGGGCACGCCCGCCCTCCACGTCCCCGCCGCCGTTCCCATCCTGAGCCTTACATGCCACTGCCCTTAGCAGAGCCGGTCTCCAGTCTTCGGGCACCTGCTCCAAGAGCTTCTTCAACTCCGAAGCGTCGACCGGCCTCGTCAGGGCAACCGAGACGTCGTCACCGTCGTCCAGAAGCTGCATCTCGTACCCGTCTTCATTACCTTGCAGCTCGTCCAGCTCGTGGAAGTGTTCGCCAAAGACGTCGCAGCAGAGTGCGTCCACCGCCTCGGGGTTGCCTCGCCGCACGCTCGGCGCTAAGCGGCGCCGCAGCGCGCCAAGCAGCGCCGCCTCCGCGCGTTTGTCGCTCGGCGGCCCCCCCTTCGGTCGCCACACCATCATCCGGTCCCAGTGCTCGAACCAGTCGTAGCTCTCACCCTCCACCACCGCCGTCTCCATTGTCAACGACGTCCGCTCCCCCCCCACGTCCACCTCAAACGCCCTCTTGGGCGCCAACACCAAAACCGTCACATCACCGCCGCCCGCGTGCATCGTCACCATCTGCCCCACGCTCTCATCCAACTCCGGCCGGCTGGTGTCCGGACGCATCAACACCGACAACAACTCACTCCCACCCACTCCATTCACCTCACTCTTGAACGCACGCATTTTAGAAACCGAAAGAAAAAAACTACGGGCCCAACGCCACAAATTCCACACGTCCGTGGTCGCTTCTTGGGGGAGCTTCCTGGAATATTGGGCATGTGGAAAGACCTCGGGACTGGGGCTACCGAAGCTTTGGCAGAACTCGGTCACAGACTTGCCCTGTGCGTCGCCAGTGAGTTGTCCCAATACTAAGACCGACGTTGCTCGGCCGACGTTACTCGGCTAAATCTCGTGGCTGACGCTGCCGTCATGTCCTCGGGCTCTGCGCTGAATCACTTCAGGTTCGGTGCCGCTTAGTTCTGCATCGTACTGCTTAGCGTCAGAGACGCGCTTCGGTTTTCATTAAGAAAAGATGGCAATGTCCTCCTGGTTCAAAACGACAAACTTACAAGTATTTCGGCCTGCCCGTCGTCTCGACTTACAGTTCCGCCCTGTCCAGGGTCGCCATGCACTGACTATACTGCGTCTGCGTCCGACGGACGGGCCGTGATCGTCCGCCCGGCATTGAAAGTTCACGGCTGCGGACATCCTCGCGATCGTTTGCGAACACAATCTTCTTGGTGGCTGGACTCAAGTTGTGGCACCGTAGCCATAGTTGTCCACCTCGTAGTCGTGTTCCGGGTAAGTCTGTGAAGTAGGCGTGTTTGTTCCGCTCGATCGCACACGCACCGGGAGTGCCGTGCTGGTTGGCCTCACGGTCACGTTCGGGACTCAAACAGGACAATTTGTGCTGGCTGGAATGTTGCGGAGACCAATGCGCAGGGTGCCGGCCTAACTGCTGTCCTAATTGACTGATGACGGGCTCGGTCAACCCTCCGTCCTTGGGACGACTCGGAAGAGGTGTTCACGAGAAGGAGGATTCTCGAATGAGTTTTCAACACACGAACTTCGCGGCAGCCTGTGTGCGCGGGAGCGTGTGTGTATCGACAAACCACGTTGTGGGCCGGTGAGGTAGCCACGAGTTGAGTGACAGAACCACTGCAACGGAAGAATCGCTGCAGTACAAGTACTGGCCGTACTCGTCGCCAGGCACCAAGACAACGCTGCCCACAGACGACAGCGTCGCCGAACCGCGGGCACATCCCCGGTCCCAATTCAAGGCCTCGTCCGGTCAGGAACATGCTCCTGAGATGAAGTCTTCGACCTTGGTCTTGATACGTCCGGGCACCATGATGCCAAGGCCGAATAGAGTATCGTTGCACCGTTGATGGCCACCAGCCATCCGTTTCATTCCGACCCGCTTCCGGTCGCGGAAGCCGTGTTACGGGAAGTATTTATTTACGAAGTGGATATCTGATTCACATGACCCGTACACACTTCGCTGCTTTCAACCGATACGAGGAAAAAGGTGCTCAATCCCATCCGCCCCGTACAATCTCTCGGTGGTACGCTCGGGTGGCTTTGTAGTGGTACGCTTGGTGGTGGTCGTCGTAAGCGACTTCTCCTTCTGGTAGGCGGCTTCTGCGAACTTGTTTGCGATCACGGTCTTTCTGGTCTCTGGACTCAAGTTCCAACAGTCGTAATCGCAGGAACTGACGTCGTAGACATCTTCCGGGTAGTCGGCGAAGGAATTGGTTATTCTGGATATGGGTGCGTTGATGTCGACAAGTGTCACCTTGTGAGCTTTTTGTACTTTTTTAGGAACCACTTGGCAACTAGCGAAAGCTACGTCGCAGATGCCGCAGCCGTTGTCCGTGCTTGCCTTTTGCCACGACATGTTTCGACCGGAGCAGCGGCGATTGCTGAGTGCCTTGAGGATCTCTGCGCCGTGCTGCTCGTGCGACATGGTCGCGTTGAAAGAAGTTTGTAGCGGGAAGTGTGATATGAGTCGTGTGTGTAAAGCTGTCTCTGTTTCCTGGTCCGTGTTGTAGTTGATACGGCACTGTCTGCCTGTAGCGTGAGCGATGTTCCAGGCGAGGGGGAAAGTGACCGGCCAGGGTTCGCCGAAGGCGACAGGCCACAGCCCGAAGGTCAAGAAGTTGCACTGCTCACCGCAGAGCAGGATGCCGCTGCCGCAGGTCGTCACCGGGGCGCGGTTGCGGCCCGCCCAGACCACCCTCCTGTCGCCCAACATCCCCGGCAACGAGGGCTGTTCTTCTGTCGCCCCTCTCTGCGCCAATTTCGAGGATTGCAAAAGGAGGTTTCCGAGAAATAAGACCGTGGCGCCTGCCCCCACGGCCATGCACCAACGACGCTTCGTTTTGCGTTCGGCCCTCGCCTGTGCAGCCTCCAGGTCTCCGTCGTTCGTCCAACCCGCAGTCGTCCACCCCGCGGACCTTTGCAGCACCGGCATCCAGTCCTTGGGCACCCGCGCCAACAACTCCGCCAACTCCGACGGGTCTATCGGTCGCGCCACATCCACGGTGACGTCTTTTACCTCATCCTGCATCTCACCACTCTCGTCCAGGATGGCGTGCAGGTCGCGCAGGTGTTCTCCAAAGACATCGCGACACAACGCGTCAACCGCCTCGGGCTTGTTCCGCGGTCCCCTGCGCTGCAGCTGCCCCCGCAGCGCGGCCAGCAGCTCCGCCTCCGCGTGAGCGTCTCTCGGAGGCCCCTCCTTCGGACGCCACACCATCATCCGGTCCCACTGCTCAAACCAGTCGTAGTTCTCACCCTCCACCATCGTCGTTTCCAATGTCAACGGTGTTCGCTCGCCGACCGTCTCCAGCTCTGTTTCAAACGCCGTCTTCGGCGCCAACACCAAAGTCGTCACCTCACCACCACCGCCCGTGCGTATCGTAACCACCTGTGCCACACAATTGTCCAACTTCGTCTGGCTCCCGTTCGAACGAATCAGCACAGACAACAACTCGCCTCCCAATACGCCACTCGCTTCACTCTTGAACGTACGCATCTCCAAACCGGGAAAAAGTTTTGTTATGATGCGCGGGTCCGTCGCGTCCCCCGCTGGCATCACGACTTTGATGACTCTCCAAGTTATGATGAGTCTGCCGACAAACTTCCCGAGTGCCCCTTCCGATGGGTTTGACATGAGGTTTACCGATTTCGTTGAGGTCTGGGAAAGTTCACAAAGATCTCGGGTCAAGATTGAATTCGACTCAAAGAGCGAAGAGGGACTCGAACCCTGAACGTGCGAGTTATCTTACTATAGTGTGGGTGGCGTAGCGACTGCCGGGCCGTTCGGATCCTGGAGACGGCAGCCGTGCTGAAGGACGACGTGGAAGAGGTCTGGTCCGAGGCAGCGAAGAGGTTGTTCCTCACGAGCCAGTGAGATCCGCGTACTAGCGCCATTACGTGAAGCGGATGAGTGCCGCTGCAAGGGTTGACACTGTCCGCGTGATTGACGAGTAGATAGCAGAAGAGTCCGAGAGTGTTCAAGAGAGCTCCTAGTTAGTTTACGCGACCCCCCTGGCCGGGGCCGCTTACGAAGCTGATGAGATGAGCCGGCCATTAGGCTGGGTGGAACTTAGGGAGTAGGCGTCACCACGTGACTGGTCTACGGGCAGTTGAATCACATGAAGGATCTTTGTACAGGTCAGGGATGAGAACTGACATCGCGAAGATGGTCGATGGGTGGGTTGATGACCCTCGTTGGCAGCTGCTTCGCCGGAGGCCGTTAGAAGTATCACGACGAAGCTTACGAACGAAACTGTCACCACTGATACCGTGAAACGCGTCTAGCCGCGTTTGACTGCTTTATAAAGGAGGGGGAACTTTACGTCCAGACAGACATCTACGGCAGACATCTGGACCGGTAATTTATGAAATAAAATTCGTCCTAGTGGTGTTATTCCTGCCCAAGTCAGTTGATGCTATTTGAGTTCGTGTTCGAGTTCGTGTTCGAGTGCGTGTTCGACTGTTTTGTCAATCTTGAATCCTCGGTACCTATTGTGTAATCCCATTCTATTCGTGGGAGGATAGTGTTGATGGATCACCACTCGCCTCACGCTTGAATGTTCGCACCTTCGAACCCACAGAAGTAAGTTCGGCGTCTCCGAGATCATATGCGTAGCGGGTTGGGTGACGGGTAGAGTACACTTAGCTTAAACCTTCTCTTTGGGGCTGTTTTGTCTCGAGGAGAGGCCGCGCGACTAACTGAAGGCTGGTCCGTGACGACGATGCTGGGATGGCTTGAAGGATGACGATAGCGAGACAACTGAAGATTGAAGGCGAGTGGAGTTGAACCCCGAAAAAAGATAAAAACTTATTTTGCGTTGTCTTTGCTGCATGGCCGTTGTGTCGCCCGTCCTTAGGCATGTGGCTGAGTAATTACACGACTCATGTTTATATTGGTTGACATCATCGGTAGTGACCGTAGGGTGTCAGCGTCTACGGTCCTCCGCTGGTGTCTGCCTGGGACTGCATTAGTGGCCCACCTGCTGGCTAGACTGCATTAGTGGCCCACCTGCTGGCTAGACTGCATTAGTGGCCTACCTGCTGGCTAACTGCATTGGTGACCCACCTCCAGGTCGGCTCCTCCAGCAGCCTACCTTTTGACCCTTTGAATCTCCGCCTGTCATGTCCTCTGTCATCGTGCCGGTTACCTCCTGCAACCGCGCGAAGTACGGTAGCCTTGCAAGCACTGCTGACGCCTACGGTGGGGTGAAACATACAGCAGTGCCATTCTTCCTCACTCCTGTGGCCTTAGTTGCTTGTACTCCCAGGTGCACCTCCTCTTAGAAGGTAGCACAAGCTGCACACCTAGCCTTTTCGAAAGCAGACCAAGAACTAAAAAGACGTATTTAACGGTCTGCCACCCAGCAAATCACAACTTCGGGCAAACTACATACCACTCAGCGAATGATCAGCTCATGATACCAAAGAAGAAGAAGAAAATGATCGCTTCCCCCTGCTCCTCGTTCAGGCATGTCGCAGAAACGTACTATGCAGAAAAAATGGGTGTGTTGCAGACCACCCACACCCACCCCTCGCGGGCTTTTTATATCCCTTCTAACCCTCCCGAGCACTACTGACCTCCTTCAGCAGGAAGGTCTCCCAACACCGGACGAATTCGTGGATCGTTGTATCCTCAATCGCACGGTATTCCTAATTCGGTAGTTTTGCGCGACCTGTTGTTTGGCAGTGCTTTGTGTAGTATCGATTGTGGTAACATTTTTTGAAATAGCTGCGGATGCTTTCTGGTTGGGCTGATGGTACGTGCACGGGCTCGCTTGGGGGTGGTGGTGGTGGTAGTACGCATGGGGGTGGTGGTAGTACGCATGGTGGTGGTGGTGGTAGTACGCATGGGGGTGGTACTCGGGCTGGTTGATCAGCGGGCGGCTTCTGCGAGCTTGTTTGCGGTTACGGTCTGTCTGGTCTCTGGACTCAAATTCCAACAGTCGTAACTACAGTGACCGACCTCGTAGACGTCTTCTGGGTAGTCAGCGAAGGCACCGGTAATCCTGGTCATGGGCGCTTCCAAGTCGACAAGTGTGGCGTCGTAGCCTCTCTGGTTCTTTTTAGCAACCACTTGGCAAGTGGCGATGGCCATGTCGCAGACGCCGCAGGCGGTGCTGTCCTTTCTAGCTTTTTGCCACGACATGTTTCGACCGGAACAGCGGTGATTGCCGAGCGCCTTGAGGATCTCTACGCCGCGCTGCTCGTGCGACATGGTGGTGTTGAAAGAAGTTTGCAGCGGGAAGTGTGCTATGAGTCGTTTGTGTAAAGCCGTCTCTGTTTCCTTGGCCGTATTGCAGGTGATTCCGCACTGATTTCCTGTGGCCTGGGCGATGTTCCAGGCGAGAGGGAAAGTGACCGGCCACGGTTCGCCGAAGGCGATTGGCCAGAGGCCGGAGGAGAAGTCGTTGCACTGATCACCACAGAGCAGGAGGCCGCTGCCGCAGGTCGTCATCGGGAAAGAGTTTCTGGCTGCCCAGTTGGCGTGCTTGTCGCTCAACTCTGCGGGCATTCCCGGCAACGAGGGGAATTCTTCTGTCGCCCCTATCTGCGCCAACTTCGAGGATTGCAAAAGGATGTTTCCGAGAAATAAGACCGTGGCGCCTGCCCCCACGGCCATGCACCATCGACGCATCGTTTTGCGTTCGGCCCTCGCCTGTGCAGCCTCCAGGTCTCCGCCGTTCGTCCAACCCGCCGTCCTCCACTCTGCTGTCGTCCACCCTGCCGACCTCTGAAGCACCGGCATCCAGTCCTTGGGCACCCGCGCCAACAGCTCCGCCAACTCCGACGGGTCTATCGGCCGCGTCACACTAACGGTGACGTCATTTACCTCCTCCTGCCTCTCACCACTCCCGTTCAGGATGGCGTGCAGGTCGCGTAGGTGCTGCCCAAACACTTCGCGACACAACGCGTCAACCGCCTCCGGCTTGTTTCGCGGTCCCCTGCGCTTCAGCTGACGCCGCAGCGCGGCCAGCAGCTCCGCCTCCGCGTGAGCGTCTCTCGGAGGCCCCTCCTTTGGTCGCCACACCATCATCCGGTCCCACTGCTCAAACCAGTCGTAGTTTTCGCCCTCCACCATCGTCGTTTCCAACGTCAACGGCGTTCGCTCGCCGACCGTCTCCAGCTCTGTTTCAAACGCCTTCTTAGGCGCCAACACCAAAGCCGTCACCTCGCCGCCGCCTCCGCCGCCCGTGCGTACCGTAACCACCTGTGCCACACAATTATCCAACTTCGTCTGGCTGCCGTCCGGCCGGATCAGCACAGACAACAACTCGCCTCCCGGTACGCCACTCGCTTCACTCTTGAACGTACGCATCTCCAAACCGGGAAAAAAGTACAGCTGATTTTGTTATGAGATTTGATGCGCGGGCCCGTCGTGTCACCCCACTGGCATCGAGCGTTGCGGGAAGGATCGAACGTTGCGTGCCAACCGTGGGAAGGATCGACTTGAAAAGTTTTGCCTGGGAAGGCTCGGCCTGAAGTTGGTCGATGGGACAAAGATGCGTACTGGAGCTACTGGGGAGTACGCGAAGCAGATGAGTGCAGCTGATCGATGACCTCAGGTCAGACAGGTCAGGTGGAGCGGACAGAAGTTGTCCGATGCGAGAACGTTCAAGAAGGCTCCCAGCCGAGCCGTTTTGAGGAGTGTAGTAAGTTATGGTTGAGTATAAGGAAGATAAACACATGGGTAAGTGGAGATGCATGTTCGACTACAAGTGCTTGAAAAGGAACTCTGTATCTTTAAGGTCGTTCCCCGGTAAGTTTCTGAGACGGTTGGTAGTCCACTCATTGTGGGGCCGCTTACGATGAACCGGTCGGGGCTGGTTTGAACCGCACCGACCAAGGTTCGGGGCGGTTGGTATTACCAAAAAATTAAGTTCAGGAAGGCGATTGGCCAGAGGCCGGAGGAGAAGTCGTTGCACTGATCACCGAAGAGCACGAGGCCGCTGCCGCAGGTCGTCATGCCCAGAGTTTCTGGAAAGAGTTTCGGGCTGCCCAGTTGGCGTGCTTGTCGATCAATTCTGCGGGCATCCCCGGCTCTTCTGTTGTCCATATTGTCCGTCCCTGTCTGCGCCGACTTCGAGGATCGCAACATGAGGTTCCCGAAAGATAAGATAGCGGCACCCAGCCGGCTGTCGTAAGCATGCGTTGATGAGACGGGACTGGCTGACTAAGCTGAACTGGCGGCCGAAGACCGACACGACTGTGGAAGCACGTGTGGGTGGTCAAAGACTGGCCGGTGGTTGACGGAAGAATGAAGTGCTGACTGACGGACGGTGGTTAGCAAGAGTACGCGAGGACGGCACGGCACCCCTTCCTCAGCATGTCAAACAAAGTGCACTCGGCAAATCTCGGGATGCCACACACCCGTCCGGTTGCCTTCGGCAAATCTCGGGATGAAAGGCTGAGGCCTTTCATCCCGAGTAACCAACCAGTTGAGTAACCAACCAGTCCAAGGAAACTCTGCAGCTAGCAAGAGCGAGCTCGGCAGTGTGCAGTCCAGGCGCTAGGGGCCTCCGCGTTCTTGACAGCATCGATCTTCTTCGCCTGACACCCCACGCTGTCCTTGCCAATGACGTGCCCCAGGTACCTCACCTCGCTCTTAAACCGTTCACTCTTCGAGTCTCAGGTAAAATCAGTTCGCCCTGCACAACCGCAAGATTTTTTTCTATCCTCTTTAGCATCCCGGCTTCGTCGCCCATCGCTACGGCAATATCGTCAATGTAACAGAGCGTGCTACTGTCCAGCACCTCCTCGAAAAACCCGTCCATCCCGAAAGGCCCGGGTGACCACTATCGGAGAGGCTGTCCATGCGGTATGCTATGCAAAGATAGGACAAAAGGGATGCAAACTTTGAGACGTAACACTGAGTCGTGTGCGAGGTTACTCAAGGGACCACCCCCCCCTAGTTGGTAGGTTCACTTCCACCTATTGTGACAAGCAATCCATGTTTACTACCAGTGCAGTCTCCCGTCGTGCAGTGCGGTCTTTCTTTCGTTCAACCAATCTCTCGTGCTGGGGGGGGTCTTGGAAGTGGGAAGGGAAGTTGGCTTTGTCTCGCCTCGGCAGGTGACCCGGCATCTTTCCATCTCGATCCCCTTGAAAAGGTCAAGGACGTGTGCCCAGCTGGTAAAGCGACCGGAGACATCCGACTTCTGACCTCCGGCTTCGTATTGGAGGTGCAGGAACTCGCAGAAGCAGTGCTTGATGGCTTCCAGACTTTCTGTGCAGTTGGTGACTTCGGGGAAGCTACACCGATCGCTTATCGGATTCTGTCCGGACATAAAGTTTGAGCTCTTGCACCACCTGGCTGAAAACGCTAGGGTTGGTGACCCTCGGACTCAGGACCCTCCAGTTGAGGACGCTGCGAGCTTGAAAGCAGCTGCTGTTGGCTCAGCCTCGCCAAATTCTGCTTCTCGAAGAGAGCAATACCCGCCGTCGTTGAACTTAGTAACTTAGTCACACCGCACGTGTATAGACAGTCTTTCCATCTGCGCGGCGGCGGAGTCTGGCCGTCGGATACCAGAGCCACCCGTGTCTCTATCGGCTTAGTGTCCTCGGTCGGGATCTCGGACACACGCGCGTCCGACCGTACCGGTTCTCGCCACCCCGCCGGGAGTGTTGGCAACAACTCTTCCAGCTCCTCTTCCACTACCGGGCGACTGTAGACCACCTGCACCTTCTCGCCTCGCGTGTTTGCTGTAAGCATTTTCGCACGCCGCCTTCCGAACACGTCCAACCACACTGGGTCGGTCTGCTCCTTAGTCGTCAGTCGCACGCCTCCAGACGCTTCTCGATTGCCTTCACGATCAGCGACTGCACGTACTTGCTCGACCCCTCGACCGGATCTTCGTCCAACGCAGTCAGCCCCGCCTCCGGCGCCTGCCACGTTGTCTGGGACCCCCACTGCCACCGCTTGTCGTACACACGCATCCGACTCACGTCGGTTAGCCAGTCGAACGCGTCGCGCTGACCCATAATCAACTTCCACGCGTGCTCCCGAGGCACCAGGACCACCGCCGAACACGCGCGCTCACCCGGCACACTCAAGTCAATCACCCACGGCACACAGTCGCTCATTCCCGGCCGGCTGCCGTCCGGGTAGACAACTCGTGGATGTGGTCGGGAGGTGGCCTTGTTGACGGGTCGGCTGTCGAATCTCCTTCTCTTCGCAGCTCCGCTTGCGTCACGGTCCGCGTCTTGCATCGGGTAAGCGTCAGATATTTGTGCCGTCATGACTGGTGCGGGCTTCGCGTCTCCACGCGCGGTTAGAGGCTTGAGGGTGTACAGGGCTTGAATCAGCTTCAGTGGCCCGTCGTACGTTAGCCTTTTCGCGTCGCACCTGGTGCTGGTAGGGAGGCATCGCAACACGGGGCGGCTCTTGCAGAACGGGAACTCCTCGTCCCAGCGTATACACAACCTCGCAAATACTTCGAGTGGTGGTCTATGTCGTGGTATGACGAGAACTGTCCGCGCGCTAGGTGTCGGCGGTCACCTCTCCTATGTACAAGCTCGCTGGAAAGATGGCTCTCTCGAAATCTGGCGTTTCTCCGCGGAACCTCTGGAAGGTGTTGTGGAAGGGTTAGAACTTGTCTTCTTCAATATTAAACCGTGACGAAGTCGTCGTAGGCGTATCACTTGTCGCGACTTCGGCCTTTCGCGTAGATGTTGAATGGGCGATCGAGGGTGCCTGTCTCTTCATAGTCGCGCTGTATTGAGCCATGTGCAGATTTCGACAACTCCTATGCTGCCAGACTCCACTCCTGTCCTTGGTTTGTTACCACTTCGCTCTACCTGTCGGTAACACTCGGGACTATTGACTAATCGATCAACATAATCATGAGTTGCGTAGTGTGCGGGAAAGAGGGGATAATGAAGCCAGGCTGGTGAGCCAGGCTGGCAGGTTAGTAGCCATCGTGTGTGTCAGTGGGACTGGGAGAAAAAAGCGGAAAAAAAGTTGTCGAGTGCGGGGACTAGCAGCATGGGCTGTTAGTTATGGCGGCTCAGTTACATGACTGTCGATCACTGGTCGTAGAGATGCGCGACCTGCAAGTAATTTTCTGGTTGGAATTAACCAACTGGTGATGGCTACCCTGCAACAACCCACGATATCAAACACGAGATACGTCCGGCTATTGCCTGCTGATGGCACTCCTGGGGAGGACCTGTGATTTGTACGAGTCTTCGCGCTGCGGTCTCGACTCCAGGTTCTGCGAGTACTGTTCCTTCGAGTTGGGGGCCCTCGCTTCGCTTCTCACCATGCCCTTCCACATCGACTTGGGCGCCGGCCACGTGCTAGTGGGGGGCTTGATCGATAACGAAGAGAGACAATAAGCTTACATAAGAATCTGAGATGGTCGTGCAGTCTAGCGTATGGTTTTATTTGGTTTATGAAAATGGTAGTTACCACAGACGCCTTGCTGTCGGCTGGTTGTGGTTAGCACTGGATTGGCGACTTTTTGTTGGTTACTATTCTCGCCTGTGATTTAGTTAGTGGGTGGCGATAGTATTCTTCGATACAGCGAAGGAAGTCGGTTGGTAAGTTGGTGGTTTACGCCGTGCCGCTCGTGCGGCATGGTCGCACGAGTATGTGCCCAAGCTCTCAGAAGATCACTCGACCAGAACCCAGAAGTATGTGGTTAAATTCTGGTGACTTAGTGCGGGAGGCTGGGGTGGTACGCTTGCGGGCACGGGCACGCTTGCGCTTGGGGGCACGGGAACGCTTGTGGGCAGTGGTCCGCTCGGTGGTTGTCGCCATAAGCGACTTCTGGTGGTCGGCTGCTGCGACTTTGTTAGCTTCTGCGATCTGTCTGGCTTCTGGACTCAAATTCCAACAGTCGTAACTACAATGACTGACCTCGTAGACGTCTTCTGGGTAGTCAGCGAAGGCACCGGTAATCCTGGTCATGGGCGCTTCAAAGTCGACAAGTGTGGCGTCGTGACCTTTCTGGATCTTTTTAGCAACCACTTGGCAGGTGGCGAAGGCCACATCGCAGACGCCGCAGTCGGCGCTGTCGTTGCTTGCCTTTTGCCACGACATGTTTCGACCGAAGCAGCGGTGATTACTCAGTGCCTTGAAAATCTCTACGCCGTGCTGCTCGTGCGACATGGTCGCGTTGAAAGAAGTTTGTAGCGGGAAGTGTGATATGAGTCGTGTGTGTAAAGCTGTCTCTGTTTCCTGGTCCGTGTTGCAGTTGATACGGCACTGTTTGCCTGTAGCCCGAGCCACGTTCCAGGCCAGCGGGAAAGTGACGGGCCAGGGTTCGCCGAAGGCGATTGGCAAGATGCCGGCAGGCGAGTCGCCGCACTGATCACCGCAGAGCAGGAGGCCGCTGCTGCAGATCGTCACCGGGGGGGGGTTGCCGACCGTCCAGAGGGCCCTCTTGTCTCTCAACTCTGCGGGCATCCCCGGCAACGCGGGGTGTTCTTCTGTCGCCCCCATCTGCGCCAACTTCGAGGGTCGCAAAAGGAGGTTCCCGAGAAATATGACAGTAGCGCCTACCCCCGCGGCGCCCATGGCCAAGCACCAACGACGCTTCGTTTTGCGTTCGGCCCTCGCCTGTGCAGCCTCCAGGTTTCCGCCGCCGGTCCAACCCGCAGTCGTCCACTCTGCAGTCTTCCCCCCGGCCGACCTTTCCAGCACCGGCATCCAGTCCTTGGGAACCCGGGCCGAGAGCTCCGCCATCTCCGACGGGTCTATCGGCCGCGCTACTGCCACGGTGACATCGTCCATCTCCTCCTGCATCTCACCATTCCCGTCCAGGATGGCGTGCAGGTCGCGCAGGTCGCGCAGGTGTTCCCCAAAGACATCGCGACACAACGCGTCAACCGCCTCGGGCTTGTTCCGCGGTCCCCTGCGCTGCAGCTGACGCCGCAGCGCGGTCAGAAGCGCCGCCTCCGCCCGATCATCGCTCGGAGGCCCCTCCTTCGGACGCCACACCATCATCCGGTCCCACTGCTCGAACCAGTCGTAGTTCTCGCCCTCCACCATCGTCGTCGTCTCCGTCGGCGACATTCGCTCGCCGACAGACCCCAGCCCCACCTGAAACGCCTTCTTAGGCGCCAACACCAAAGCCGTCACCTCACCACCACCGCCCGTGCGTATCGTAACCACCTGTGCCAAACAATTGTCCAACTTCGTCTGGCTGCCGTCCGGCCGGATCAGCACAGACAACAACTCGCCTCCCGACACGCCACTCGCTTCACTCTTGAACGTACGCATCTCCAAACCGGAAAAAAAGTACAGCTGATTTTGTTGTGAGATTTGATACGCGGGCCCGTCGTGTCACCCCACAGGGTTCTGACGGCCCAGGTACAACGGTTCTTTAGGCCAACCATGCCGGAGGACTTCCCTTCCGATGGATGTGGCAGGAGGCCCACCCATACCGTTAAGACCAGAGAAAATTAACTAGGTCTCGGGCCACTCACCATTCAAGGGTCTCGAACCACCACCCAAGGGGTCAGAAGAAGATTCCATTCGCGACGAGGAAGCTCAAGGACAATGTAGCTAGCTAGGTGAACCTGCAAGACTAGAAACTGTCGGACGGTTGGTTGCTGGCGTAGCGAGTCCTAGATGGGGTGCTGAAGGATTGGCGTGGAAGACGTCTGGTTGTTCCTCACGACGAGAGCTTGCAACCCTTACGGGGGATTTGGTTCCGGTTCTGGGCTGCCCTTCTGTCGTGGTTGCCCACGGTTTGATCTGGTGGGTGGGTTGGACTCCCTCCCAGCCGCTGCGGGTTCGCACGGAGGTTAAGGTCTACCCCGCGGTGGCGCACTTGGTATCACCACCAACCCTCAAGATCATGCAGCAACCCAGTTTGTAAGGACATCTGCCCCGAATAAGATTCCCTGGCTCACATGCATCATGGTCGGATAACACTGAACCCGGATTCCGTTTACTAGCATGGTTGTACCAGACATGTACCCACGGGCTCCTATAACTTGCGAACTTTGGAGCTGTCCATGGGGGGATCGCCACACACCCGTCCGGTTGCCGTTCGGACCACAACTAACCCCCACCTCACTCCGTTGTCAGCCTCACTCCTTAACTTACGCATTGCTTAACTTACGCATTGTTGGCAACCCCAAAAAAAGAGAGGTCAAAATTCCGCTCACACTAATTCCGACGACCAAGAACGCGCCTGGTTGCATTCGACTGCTTTCAGCCAATGGAAATACGAAATGGGGGGTACTTGGCTATTTTCTGCCTGGCACGCTTCCTGGTTGCTCGCGTCCCGGGGGTGGCAGTGGTACTCGTGCTGGTGGCCTGGTAGGCGGCCGTTGCGGCCCTGTTCGCGATTGCAGTCTGTTTGACCTCTGGAGTCAATTCCCAGCAGTCGTAAGCGCACTTCTTGACTTCGTAGACGTCGCTTGGGTAGTCGGCGAAGGAGGCAGCTACTCTGGCCAAGGGCGCTTCCAAGTCCGAGAGCACGACGTCGTGAGTCTTCTGGTTGCCTTTGGTCATCACTTCGCAGCCCACGGCGGCCAAGTCGCAGGCGCAGTGAGTAAGCCTGCTGATGGCCTCCCACGAGTCCAAGCCTTTGCAAGTTTGTTGTGCAGTGGAGAGCGACGTCACGATCTGTCGAACTTCATCTGCTTTCGACATGGTTGTGTTGAACGGAGTCTGGAGAGGGAACTGTGAGAGGAGTCGTGCCTCGAGAGCGATCGCTGACTCTTCCTCCGTGTTGCAACGAACTCGGCACGTCGGCATACGCACCTGTAACGTGCGGTGGGCGATGTCCCATGCTAGCGGGAAGGTGAGGGGCCAGGGACTACCGAAGGCGACGGGCCACGGGGCCTTTTTTTTGCAACCGGTGTCGCAACGCAGGATGCCGCTGCCGCAGGTCGCCACCGGCGCGGGCATCCCGGGTCCCATTGCCCAGGCGGCCGCGCCCCGGTTGTCGCTAAACTGCGCATAGGTTCCCGGCACCGCCAGGCCTTGCTCTGCCGTCGGTCGCTGCGCCGACCCCGAAAATCGCAACAGACAGCTTCCGACAATCAAGGCAGCAGCGCCTAGCCCCAGGATGCCCGCGGTCTTGTACCGACAGCTCTTCATTTCGCGGCTACGCTTCGCCTCTGCGGCCTCAATGTCGGTACAGCCCTCTGTCTTCCAGTCGACGGTTTTCCACTCCGCCGACCTCTGCAGCACCGGCATCCAGTCCTTCGGCACCCGCGCCAAGAGTTCCGTCAACTCCGACGGGTCTATCGGCCGTGCCACATCCACGGTGACGTCGTCTATCTCGTCCTGACCCTGCATCTCGCCACTCCCGCTGAGGAGGGCGTGCAGGTCACGCAAGCGTTCCCCAAAGACCTCATGACAGAGCGTCTCCACCGCCTCAGGCATGTCTCGCGGGCCTCTACTCGTTAGACGGCGCCTTAGCGCAGCCAGCAGCGTTGCCTCCGCGCGATCGTCGCTCGGAGGCCCCTCCTTCGGACGCCACACCATCATCCGGTCCCACTGCTGGAACCAGTCGTAGTTCTCGCCCTCCACCATCGACGTCGTATCCATCATCAATGGAATTTGCCGATCAACCGTCTCTATCTCTGCTTCAAAGGCCGTCTTAGGCGCCAACACCAAAGCCGTCACCTCACCACCACCGCCCGTGCGTATCGTAACCACCTGAGCCACACAATTATCCAACTTCGTCTGGCTGCCGTCCGGCCGGATCAGCACAGACAACAACTCGCCTCCCGGTACGCCACTCGCTTCACTCTTGAACGTACGCATCTTCAAACCGGAAAAAAAGTACAGCTGATTTTGTTATGAGATTTGATACGCGGGCCCGTCGTGTCACCCCACTGGCGTTAGGCGTTGCGGGGGGTGGGGACGTTGCGTGCTAATCGTGGGAAGGATCGACCTGAAAAGTTTTGCCTGGGAAGGCTCGGCCTGAAGTTGGTCGATGGCTGGACCTGTTTTGGGTGATCTGTTTTGGGTGAATCTTCTGCGGGGGATGAACGAGACCTCTCATAGCCCGGACCCTGTTGGAAGCTGTGAGTGAATCCGCTGACGAATCACCCACCGACGAAATTCCGGCTCAGGCCTAGCTGCGGTGAGTCCCAGGGCATGAGAGTCGTAGGCAGCGGGAAGGTATCGGGGACAGCGACGTCACGGAGGGAACGATAGTGGACGCCACTCCCAGGAATCCCGAGCTGTCTTTTTTGCCGCCTCAACGGGATGGTCCCCGCGGCCAGCAGGTCTGTGGCTGGATTTCCTGCTTGTGTTCGGGTGAGTATCGCCGGCTGCGAATGGCACTTGCTGACGGGCACGGTGGATGGCCTTTATTCTCTCGACTGGGTCTTGAAGTGAAAGGGGTTGTCCCCAGCGACGGCAGAAGTCGCTGAAGCGTGACCCCCAGACGAGGTTAAACCCCCCCCAGACGAGGTTAATTTCGTGGTTGAAGGGGAAGAAATGCGCGGCGAAGGCATCCACGGACTCGTGGAAGGGGAGATTCATGAGACCTCTCCGGGCTATGAGGTCCTGGTGAACGGAGTCGCCGCTTGTAGGATCACTTCCACGACAATTGCATCTTGTATCCCGGACATTTGTACTTGGATCTTCCCTCTGTATTCGGATCTTCCCGAACACATTACTCATCCCTGATCAGATCACCCACCCCATTACCAATTTTCGGCCCTTCAGATGCCGCAAGTCTCTCTCCGGGGATCTTGGGTCACTTAGCTGCTTTCAACCCGCGCTCTCATTAACCGCGGGCAGTCGCCTGTCGACGCACATCTGACTACGTACACCCAGACCGGCGAACTTTATTCACGCGATCAGCTCCATTTCGCTACCCCACCACGCCCAACTGCACGCTACCCTTCCGCGACCACCTGTCGTGCGCCATGTTGCAAAAAACATTAAAGAGACAAGTTCACATCAGACTCTCTCTTTATCGGGAAGGCCGTGAAGAAAGCCTGTATCCCTTCACACCTTCATCATACCTGAGCCGACTTGCTATCTTCGGGAGACAGAGGACAGCCGCTTCACAGCCCATGAATGAGTACGGTCCCCTCGCGCTCTCCCGCAAAGAAGATATGACGTGGCAGTAACGTATCGAGAGTCAGTAGACAAGGTAGTTTCACCAAGAACCCCAACTGAGCATGGCAACACGGCCGACGCCAAGTACAAACCAAGTCGAAGACCTGAGCAGCCCTATCAGGGCGGCAGCCACGCGTCAGATCAGACTTACGATCTCGATCACGGATGATCTTCCGTTTTGTCGAGTCACCGTCGAAGAAACACCTTCGTCGCAAGGTGGCCCGCCCGTGACCGTGATTGCAGACGGAGGGTCCGACTACAAGAGGCGGATACATTGAAGGACAGGTTCGGGAACAAGCTGTTGAAATCTACTCCGCATCGACATTAAGGGAACGGTGTGGACAAATCAGGGGTATTGCCATGGTCGTTGAGGCGTGGCTCTCCGTGCAGGAGGGTACGGCTGTGAGGGATGGTTCTCCGTGCAGAAGGGTACAGCCGGATTGCGTCCTAGCGGCGCTATACAACGACTGGGCGAAGGCGTTCAACCTCGGCCAGAGCGGAGCCCCTCTTGTTCATGGAGAAATCGAGTCGGACGAGTGGCGTAGACAGAGGCGGACTGATAACGTGATTCAAGTAAATGCACGGCAAGTGAGGACTCTCACGCCGTTGGTGGTACCTTGAGCGATTCATCCCCTGCTGGTGATACCTTGAGCGATTCATCCCCTGCTGGTGGTACCTTTACCTTGGACGATTCTTCCCCAGTGAGCAACGACGACGCGCTCATACTGATGGATGACGTCGATTGTTGCACATGTTATTAGCACGCAGCGCATACGTAGCACTCATGCGTTGATACACACAAGCAGGTCGACGGAGGAATGCTTGACGGGGGCATGCGGATTGATGCCGGCCGAGGGTGTACCAGGAGTTCGTAAACGGGGAAAATGATGGACCCTCTCCACCCCGATGGGCTGTTGCCGTGGCGGCTGTCGTGAACCACGCAACACCGTACCTGAGGGTGTGTATCAGAATGCGGATCAGAATGCGGAGTGCTGACCTTCTTTTGGTCGTGGTCGTGACGGTTTGCACCTTCGCTGTTAGAATATTGATCCCACGACCTTCTCATGACGCGCCCACCGGTCTCTTTCCGCGCTTTCGGCTCTCCTCGTTCCTGACCCAGCAGCTTGAGTAGTCAACGCACATCTCGTCCCGCCTGAATAGTCAACTGCTTTCAGTCAAAATAAAGAATGTTAAGGTCTTCAGATGCAGGATAATAACTAAATTCCGGCACCGGACGTTTTGGACGTATGGTGCTTGGTTCAAGGCTCGCAAGGTACGCGGCGGTTGCATCCTTGTTTGCCATTACAGTCTGTCTTGCCTCCGGACTCAGGTTCCAGCAGTCATAAGTGCAGTTTTTGACTTCGTAGACGTCACCCGAGTAGTCGGCGAAGGAGGCAGCCAGCCTGGCCATGGACGCTTCCAAGTCGGAGAGTGCAACGTCGTGAGTTTTCTGGTCGCTTTTGGTCATCACTTCGCAGCCCACGGCGGCTAAGTCGCAGACGCAGTGAGTGAGCCTACTGACGGCCTCCCACGAGCCCGAACCCGTACAACTCCGAGTGGATAGTGCTGAGCGGATTTTTTCAACTTCGTTCTCGCGCGACATGGTTATGTTGAACGGGGTTTGAAGAGGGAAGTGTGAGAGTAGTCGTTCCTCGAGAGCGATCGCTGACTCTTCCTCCGTGTTGCAATGAACTTGGCACGTCGGCATACGCTCCCGTAACGTGCGGTGGGCGATGTCCCAGGCTAGCGGGAAAGTGAGGGGCCAGGAACTGCCGAAAGTGAGTGGCCAGAGGGCATCCCCACTGCAACCCGTGTCGCAAAGCAGGATGCCGCTGCCGCAGGTCGCCACCAGGTCCCGGTTGTCGCTCAACTCCGCCGTCGGTGGCTTCGCCGACCCGGAGGATCTCAACAGGTAGCCTCCGAGGAGTAAGACAGCGGCTCCAAGCCCCAGGAAGCCCGCGGTCTTTTGCTTCACCCCGCGTCTGGTCCTCCTCGCCTGTGCGGCCTCAAACACCACGTCCTCGGACCAGTCCGCCGTCTTCCACTCCGCCGACCGCTGCAGGGCTGGCCGCCAGTCCCCGGGTACCCGCGCCAAGAGCTCCGCCAACTCGGACAAGTCTATCGAGCGCGTTTCACCCACGGTGACATCATCCACCTCCTCCTGCATCTCGCCACTCCCATTCAGGATGGCGTGCAGGTCGTGCAAGTTTTCCCCAAAGACCTCGCAACAGAGGACCTCCACCGCCTCAGGCTTGTCCCGCGGCCCGATCCGCGCCAGACGGCGCCGCAGCCCCGCCAGCAGTGCCGCCTCCGCGCGTCTGTCGCTTGGAGGACCCTCCATTGGACGCCACACCATCAGCCGGTCCCACTGCTCGAACCAGTCGTAGTTCTCAACCTCCACCTTCGTCGTCTCCCCCATCAACGGCCGTCTCCAACTCGCGCCGAACGTCTCCAACTCTATTTCAAACGCCATCTTAGGCGCCAACACCAAAGCCGTCACTTCGCCGCCACCACCCGTGTGTATCGTAACCACCTGCGCCACACTCTCCTCCAACTCCGGCCGGCTACCGTTCGGACGCATCAACACCGACAACAACTCACTCCCATGCACGCCACTAGCCTCGCCCTTAAAGGCACGCATCTTCAAACCACCGGAAAAAAATTGGTGGCTTTGAGCCGTCCAGGGACATAACGATCCCAAAAGAAATTTTTGTACAACTCATTCTCACGACTACAGATGCGGGACCGGCTGCCTGGCTGGCATTGGCGCCACCAACAGCCACATTGAACTCAGGGACAACGGTAATGACCCGTCTCCTCAACCCATCATGGATGAGCTGGTTGTGACCCGAGGGCTGAACAGGATGCCAAGGTGTAGAGGATTGAACTAACGACGACGGCGCACAGCACAGGCTGCGGAAATGCGGACTCGAGTGGGTGGGACGCGCTCGTTGGGCTCCATCAACCAGACAATTCATACCCAGCTTCCACCTTCCGTGGAAAAGATGCGCTCCGATCCAGTCCATGTGGGACCACCTGAGGACAGTGGCTGGCCGCCTAGTTTTATGGCCCCCAACATGGCCGTAGTGGGTAGCAATATGAGCGGAGCGTCTCGGCGGCATCTTCGTCGGTCTGCCCCTACGTATACCACAACTGCACTTTTCGAACGCCGTCCGCTCTATGACGGAGTCGTCGTCCGCCTCCTCGGCGCCGTAGCGCGACAGCCAACCTGCCACACGATTTCTCTCTGCAGCCAGCGTGAAGTCAAACCAACTAAGCGTTACGGTTTAAAGGAAGACCTCCCCCTTCTCGACCCCCCCCTTGTCGACCCCCGTAAGGTAGTGGAGATCCGCGTTGTCTCTCTTCATAGCCGCAGCACGCGTCGTGACCCACTAACGGTCCACTGGATTCCAACACACACCAGATCCCACCATGCTATTGTCTTCATCTAGTCGTGCAGGAGATCGACAGTCCCGACCCACCACAAGCTTACCTGAGGACATGACGATGGATTCAGTTGGCTGCCTGCCTGCCAGCGGTGAGCTTGCTATTGTAATCGCCGCTTGCTGTGGGCGTGGTGATCTAGTGGGCGCAAACGTCCTCGCTTACGGTGCGGTCCGCAAGGAACTGTCGCCGGCAGAACCTCAGTCGATTGAGTCGCCCGCTGCTGTGTCGTTTCGTACCACTGTTCAGCCACGCAATACATTTTCTCGCTCAGATTTGGATCCGGACAGAGTGTTGGGTCTTTGCGAAAGGAGGAGAAGTCCGCATAGCCGTTCAACAAAACTTGCAACTCGTGCTGACCTTCTAATTGCCCGTCAGGCCACGGAAAGTCCTGTACGAGTCCGCCAAACAAACAATCGTTCACTTTTTCTAGACCTCCGCTGACCGTCTCAAGCACCACGGCCGCCGTGACCCTGAGCCCTAAATCTCTGCAGCGTGCCCGAATGCTAAGCCCGATCTCCTTCTTAAGACCCCCGGTCAACGGCTTTAACCAGTTCTTCACCTGAATGGCAATCACACTCATGTTCTCTGGATGGATCTCTTTGCTGCTCTCCAAAACTGGAATGTACAGGTCCACTCCAGGCTCGTTCTGCTTCGCAGTGATAGCAAGGCGTGCGGCAAACATGCTGGCCACAATGTCCGGGGTCACGTCACAGTCGATCCTAGAGAACGCCGTGAAACCGACCTGACCATCACGCTCAGAAGGCAAAGGACCGCCGAGAAGCCTCTCCAGGAAACTTTGAACCGACAGCAAGGGGACAGCCTCGGAGCCCGTATGAACAAGGATTGATCCCAAGCACCTCATCTGAGCGACGCATTCGCCGGCAGAGCCCTTCATGAATGCGCCTGTCAGCCACCGCGAACGTAAAACGGTCGGCCAGTCCTTCCCATAGCCTCTAATCAAGTTGAATGCGGCAAGGGATAGTATCGGCTCCATCAAGTAGTCCACAATCACGGTTTCGCGGTCCTCCGCCACATGCCTGACTATCGCCATGAACAACTTCACCATGGTTTCAGGAAGACGCAGACCCGGGGTGAACGGAACCTTTAACAAAATGCCCAAGAGAGCCAAGGTCCTATCTTGGCGGCTGCCACCCCCCAATTTAGTCATGGCCAGCTGAAGAACGTCTCGCGGAGTGGCAGAACCCTCTAGCGTGCTTCGCCACAGAGGCCGACCCCACTGACAGACGTACTCCAGCGTGCAGGATTGTGCCAAGCTCGGCAACGTCGAAGGACCGTACCATGGCCCCACATCGATGATTGGCTCGAACTGCAAAGCGCCTACGGATGCAGCACGGGCAGAATCATAGTGCATCAGTGGAGCAAAGTTCTGGACCCTGGAGTAGGTGCTTGTAAAAAGCAAAACGACCTCTTGATGGGTTGGAACGAACAGTTCTCTGGCAACTTGTCGGAGCAGTCGGAATGGGCTGCGGCACAATAAGGCATCTTGCCCTTCCATCAACAACGTCTGGGCCTCATCAAAAACGATGAGCACTGGTCCGTTGAATGATAGAGATAATTCTTTCGCCTGCTCCATCGCTTCAGCCTTCAAATCCTCCTCGGTCTTCCCCACTACGGTCTCAGCAACAGAACTCCAGAGATCGTGGTTCGGCATTTCCATGAAATCACTCCAGTAGTTGATTTGTTGACCACCCGACACGTCCCATGCAGCCTTACTATACCGGAGAAGATGTCCCACGGCTGCAAACGCTCCCGCAACGGTGTTGAGGGAGGTAAAGGTCTGAACGATCGGTTCAAGACCTCGAGGGTAGCCGCTATTCGTTTGCAGGGAGACGTAAACAAGTGGGTGCACGCGCACGGCAGTCTCCTTAATCAATCGGGACTTCCCGCATCCACTCGACTGCACCACACTGCAAACCGGGCTCCTGTAAACAGTCGGTGTGTAATTGGCTACGAATAACCGTATTCTGCTCCAGAATGCTTCAGGGCACAAGCCGCTTTGGTCGGAGAACGCGCGGTCAAATGCCATCCGGAAGCCTTCGACCTCGTTCTGGCCGCTCTTCGGGCTTCGAACGATAGCACCCGGTGTCTCTGCAATATTCGTAGCCATCCGCAGTGCTGCTTCGGCCGCTTCCCTTGCCTCCTTCTCCCGCATTCGCCCCGCCTCTGAGGCATCTAGCTTAGCCTGCATTTTCTTCAACTGTTCCTCCAGAGCCCGCAACTTAGACCCATCCGACATTCGACTCATCCGACATTCGGAAAATATTTATTTTTCGTTCGAAAATCCTCGTTTGAGAATTCTCTACCAGAGGGAAAGAATTGCGGCACCCATTTTCCCC